CCTTTGCAAAAATGGGGTTTGAAGCTTCGTTTTTGAATTATTAAGGAAAAACGTGGACCAATCAGAGCGCGAGGATTACGCCCCCGCAGCCATTATGCTCGAGGGTGTCGCTCTCGCTGCGCACGCGTAATCCTCGCGCTCTGATTGGTCCACGTTTTTCCTTAATAATTCAAAAACGAAGCTTCAAACCCCATTTTTGCAAAGGGAAATTTTGTTCAGAATCTCGTCCTCTACCACCCCTTTCAGAGAGTTACACGAGTTGTGAGACACCCTGTATAATATTGTAATATGACATCATAATGTATACGTATGTTTTACAATACATAATTTACTGTATTATAATAATATATTATATTATTGTATTCTTGTAACAATTTCGTTCTTATTTAAACTACATACGTCTCATTATTACACACACATAAATTCACAAAGTTCCACATCTAACAACCCAACTAAAAAGTTAAAATTTCCGCGTTAAACACACCTATAGTTAAACAAAGTTTCCACTAAACAATCTCAACAAAACAGAAGCCTCAATAAAAAATTGACACATAAACATTATCCCACAAAAACCGGTGAAACCGTGAAATAGAAAACATGGTTACTGAAATCATAGTTTACCTTCGAGAACAGAAACGCCATCGTAAACCGTCGACAACGCAGCGATTTCAAGCGGTGGGTAAAAGCCATAAACTTGAGCAAAATTCACGGTCGGTATTGCCGTTTCAACGTTCACCGCACTTTCATAGTTTCCATCGTTAATATTCCTAGACACACCTTCATGCGGATTATAAACCGTCGATGATAATTTTATCGACGTTGCGAACGGAGAGTTCCTTTCCGGACGATCGGGTCGATCATAATATGGCGGATTTGGTCTTTTCGTGTCGTACATCCACAAACTTGGGTTATTAAATGTGTGTGTCGGATAGTCGGTATCTTTGGACTGGCTGAACAGATTCGCTATGAATGTCAAGAATATTAACGTGGGGGGTTGACAGGTCGAAACTGTGGAGTGAGGTGAACAGAGACTTATCAGGTCTGGCGGCACCCACGACATGATCGGATGTCTGTGCTTTTTGGTCTTCTTGATTTTGATGATACTGTTGGAAGAGATTTTTAATTTATAATGACGATACTTATATGATCGTAATAGAATGACAATACTTGTATGTCACAAGGGAATTAATGAATACTGTTGGAAGGCGATACTTATGAAGAAGAAGTTGGTAAAACACTTATGAAGAAGAAGAAGATTTTTAATTTGGAATGATGATATTTATGTGATGACACTATAAGGACAATACTTGTAAGTCAAGAGGGAATTATAATGAATACATATTATTATAAAATAATGGCCATAATATAACGACAATAATTATACTATTTATGATAATATTTATTATGATCATATTATATGTACTCATTTATAGGTAATTTATTTGAATGTTGATCGTTTAGGCTCATAATGACTTTGATAGGAACTATACAATGTATTGTTCTAGGTAATAGGATATGAAGGTTTATGAGTATGATTTAGGAACGTGTGATATTTGAAAATCTGAGAAATTTGGGAATCTCGAAATTTGGATAATCTCACCAATTTTGGGAATTTAAATATGTGAAAATTTGAGATATATGAGAAATTGTGGAAGTTTAGGTAATTTGAGAATTTAGAACTTGGGAGAATTGAGGAGTTGAAGGAAATTGAGGTGTTTAGATGAAAATTTGAAAAATTTGCGAAATCTGGGATATTGAGGAAATACGATAATTTGATCATTTAGAACCTTGAATATTTGGAAATTTAGAAATTTGAGAAATTAGAAACTTGAGAGTGTAGAAGTTTGAGAGTTTGGAAATTTGATAGTTTAGAAATTTGAAAATTTGGAAACTTGAGAGTTTTAAAAATTGGAGAACTTGGAAACTTGAGAGTTTAGTAATTTGAGAGTTCGGAAATTTGAGAACTTGGAAACTTGAGAATTTAGAAATTTGGAAACTTGGAAACTTGAGAGTATTAGAAATTTGAGAACTTGGAAACTTGAGAGTTTGGAAATTTGATAGTTTAGAAATTTAAGAGTTTGCAAATTTGAGAGATCAGAAATTTGAGAACTTGAAAACTTGAGAGTATTAGAAATTTGAGAACTTGGAAACTTGAGAATTTAGAAATTTGAAAACTTGGAAACTTGAGAGTATTAGAAATTTGAGAACTTGGAAACTTGAGAATTTAGAAATTTGAAAACTTGGAAACTTGAGAGTATTAGAAATTTGAGAACTTGGAAACTTGAGAATTTAGAAATTTGAAAACTTGGAAACTTGAGAGTATTAGAAATTTGAGAACTTGGAAACTTGAGAATTTAGAAATTTGAAAACTTGGAAACTTGAGAGTATTAGAAATTTGAGAACTTGGAAACTTGAGAATTTAGAAATTTGAAAACTTGGAAACTTGAGAGTATTAGAAATTTGAGAACTTGGAAACTTGAGAATTTAGAAATTTGAAAACTTGGAAACTTGAGAGTATTAGAAATTTGAGAACTTGGAAACTTGAGAATTTAGAAATTTGAAAACTTGGAAACTTGAGAGTATTAGAAATTTGAGAACTTGGAAACTTGAGAGTTTGGAAATTTGATAGTTTAGAAATTTGAAAATTTGGAAACTTGAGAGTTTTAAAAATTGGAGAACTTGGAAACTTGAGAGTTTAGTAATTTGAGAATTGGGAAACTTGAGAGTTTTAGAAATTTGAGAACTTGGAAACTTGAGAATTTAGCAATTTGAGAACTTGGAAACTTGAGAGTATAGTAATTTGACAATTTGGTGAGAATTTAGCAATTTGAGAACTTGGAAACTTGAGAATTTAGCAATTTGAGAACTTGGAAACTTGAGAATTTAGCAATTTGAGAACTTGGAAACTTGAGAATTTAGCAATTTGAGAACTTGGAAACTTGAGAATTTAGCAATTTGAGAATTTGGAAACTTGAGAATTTAGCAATTTGAGAATTTGGAAACTTGAGAGTTTAGTAATTTGAGAATTTGGAAACTTGAGAATTTAGCAATTTGAGAATTTGGAAACTTGAGAGTTCAGAAATTTGAAAATTTAGAAACTTGAAAGTTTGAAAATTTAATGGTATGAAAATTTGTAAATTTGAGAGTTCGAACATTTAAGAATCTAATGTAACAATCTGAGAATTAAAACCAATAAGGTATTCAAAAATTTCTGAATTTTGAAATTTCTTTAAAAAAATCCTTGCAATCCGAAAATTTTTAATTCTTCTATTTTGCAACCCCTATATTCTCCAAATATACAGTTCATCCTAGTATAGTATAATTCAACCTCCACTTACAGTTTAACTGCAACACGTCACCAACGCAAACATGATTAAATCCAAAACCAAATTCTATCGATATTACCAAACTATCGATATTATTGATTCTTCGATCGCAGTATTAACACAATATCACTTTTTATTACTCGAAATAAGAAAACTGTTTCGTACAGCTGTGACGAACGGTCCTTATTGAAATGAATCAACGTCGAGTCTTGTCTCGTGAATATCGCGGTTCCTCGAGAATCGATTTAAACGGAACACTAGAACGAAACGTGGCTGGTGCCGCTGGTTTCTTGTTCCTGTATCTTTCAAATGCTTTTTACCGTGGTTCGTAGTGCACACTTTCATTTATTAGAAATTCCATTGCACTGTGTTTCTCGTCTCTTAACTCATTTGCACCTTGCAATTAAAAATAATTTGTGTCGCTAAAATCTGAAATATTCTTTCGCTCGAATATTTTGTTGCGTTCCACGTGCTACTTCGAAGATTATACGGTAATAAATATTTCATTTTTGTAAAATTGCTGGAAAATATATTTATTCAAATTTATTTTCACTACAAGTAAAAATTTTCTCTTGACTCATTTTTTTATCCTTTTTATTATTTTATTATATAACATAAAAAGCTTTCAAGTTCTTTTCATAAATAAATAATTATGTTATATAAAAAAAATGTGCATTTAATTCAAAATATAAGTTGTGTAAAGTAGTTATAAAAAGCTATTTGAATTTCAAGAGTAAGAGTTCATTGAAAAGATTTATAAAAATATATTCAGCAATTAAAAGTACAGTCATCAACTTAGTTATAGTCATTAGTTATGAAATGATTCGATATATCGCCGCTAATTTTATCACACAAATGGTAAAACAGAATCTTAACTGACCTTAACTATGATTTCAAATTTAAATTTAATTTCAAATTCGTTTATATTCCTCCTGTCCTATACACTCGCGATATATTGCAGATGGTAGTTGAACATTTTTGAAATTGTCATATTGACTGAAATACGTTAAATGCTATATTGAATGAATAAGGAAACTTTCTTCTTTTGATATTCATTTAGGAATGTCCATATGAAAATGGCCATATAACGGGAGTTTGCCGTATTTCTTTTTAAATATGTTATTTTACCATTTGCATCGAGCTCTTGCATCTTCTAAAATTTTTAGAGTATACGTAAACATTTTGTGCATGAATTGTCACATGAAAATGACCATATAACAAAAGTCTACTGTACATCTTCAATTATTTTGTCAATATACCAAACTTCTATTTGACAGTTTTTAGTATTATGATTCTACGTGATGTATTACGATATACCTAATTCAGTCAAACTTGACCCTACCTTCTCCCTTATTTCAAAAAGTTGTGCGCTATGGTTTTGAAAAATAATTACTTTCTATGCACCCAATAATTATACCAAGTTTAAACGAAATCGGTGCTCCCAACCTTACGAGTAAACTATAACGAAACCATGAACTATGAATTTCAACACCGTATTCAACTCATTCTAATTATTCGAATATTTACAACTCTAGCGAGATCCATAAATGCATAAATAAGCAACAACAATCACAATTTTTCACCAAAACTCTCATAGTTCCTCCCTAAGCTTCCCCCAGTCGTCCTTGACCATATCGGCCCCCTTCTCCGCGATCATCATAGTCGCAGCATTAGTATTTCCACTGACAATATTCGGCATGATGGACGCATCTATCACTCTAAGTCCCTTGACCCCATGGACCCTCAACCTAGGATCCACAACCGCCATGGAGTCCCCATTAGGACCCATTCTCGCCGTCCCAACCGGATGAAACAGCGAACTCGCAATGTGCCTTATACTGCATTCCCAGTACTCCTCAGAGTCCGGTGTCGTGTGTTTACACCCCGGCACCTCCAAATGACTCACTCGCATTCCATGCCTCTTCATGGTTTCGGTATTAATCAGTCTCTTAACAGCGTCCACAGACTTCAACATCGTCCTCAGATCCTCCTCTTCCTGCAAATGATTCGCGTAGATCTTCACAGGCTCAGCCGGGTCCGTGCTCCTCAGCTCCACAACACCCACGCTCTTGGGGTTCAACAAAATGACACACGGTACGAGCAGATCCCCCTGCATGACTTCTTTGTATATCGCCGGCAGCAACTCTTCTTCAGCGTTGATGGCACTCGACAAGATGGCCGCTTTGTGCGCGTTCCAGCGCGGGAAGTGGCTGAAGATGAACTGCACATCTGGGTATTTGGACTCAGGGTCGTTCACGTTAGTGAAGCCTAGTAGGTCGACACCGAAGGCAGCCAGCTCCCCAGAATTGCGCGCCAGGTATTCATAAGCGATGTCCATGGCGTACGTGGATGTGGGTGGAGTGGTTGACTCGTTCACGTAGAGGATGTGAATTCCAAACCACGCCAGGTGGTCCTGCAGGTTCCTGCCTACGGGAAGGTCAGCCACCACAGGGATGCCCATCTGGTCCAGGTGTTCCTTGGGTCCGATACCCGACAACATCAGAAGCTGTGGGCTGGCGATGCTCCCTGCTGATAGTATCACTTCATTCCGCGACTTTATCTCGATCGATCGACCATCCTTCAACGTGACCCGCACTCCCGTTGCTCGAGCACCGTCCATCAGGACTTTGTCCACCCGGCTAGATTTCATCACGAACAGATTCTCGCGGTCCTTGATGGGCGACAGGAAAGCTTTCGCTGCGTTCACCCGTCGCCCATTGTCGATTGTGCCCAACGCTCTGCCGTACCCGATATATCGATCGTTGATTAAGGGTTCCAAAATGTCCACGCCTAGCTCCCGCGCACTTTCTAGGACGATGTCCTGAATTTCCGTTGCTGAGTAGTTGTAGTTCCTGACGTTCATGGGTCCGTCAGTCCCGCAGTACTTGGAGCCCCATTTTGATATGTAGTCGCTGGGGCAGTTGATGGACTTTTTGAAGTAGGGTAACACTTCGTCGTAGCTCCATCCTGGGTTACCTAACTCGGACCACGTGTTGAAGTCGCGGTCGTTGCCGAAGACGTGCAACATGGCGTTGATCACTGTACTGCCACCCAGGACTTTGCCTTTTGACCATCTGCAACGTTTGTTTTTGATGCCTTGGCAGAAGCCTTCTTGCGGTTCGGTCTGTTGGGAGAATATTGTGGAGAATGTTAGTTTAACTGGATGTGGGTTTTTGATGTGAAAGGACAATTTTGGGATTTTGTGAAATTACGAAATATCATTATTTATTCAAGATTGGTTTAAAGCCATTATTAACCATAAATGATGATTAAGCCATTATTATAAAGTTAATAATGATGAGCTATTCTTAACCATAAATAAATGATGAGTGCTCATAAACAAATACCCACAATTTATAACGAATAACCAATATGTGGCAGAAGGAATATTTTATCATGAGTAACTATGATTAATTTTTTAAAGTTAACATTCTTCTTAACTTCACTCTAAAAATGATACACATGAACATCATAATTTTGATCATTCTTGAAGATATTAATACCTGATACGCGTAATCCTGAGCTGCACCGAACTGAAGTAACATGAGTCCAGGAACGTCGCTTTCAGGATTAGGATCATCTCCAGCTTCGATCAATAAAATGTTCCAGTCTTTTATTTCCGTCAGCCTGTAAGCCAAAACAGATCCCGCTGTGCCAGCTCCGGCAATCACGAAATCAAATTCTCTATTTGAAGCAAGGACCTCTTCTGTACGATCCGCAGGATAATCCTGGCTGGCTAAACTGCATTGTGACACTAACATCACATGTATCAGTTGAGAGAAAACAGAACCTGGCATCGGTGATTGCGCAGCGTTACAGGCTGTTTGCATACATGAGTCCATTTTGAGGTTTTTTTTATACCTGAAACTGATTAAAATGTTTTATCAGAAATAGGGTTCAAAATAGGGTCAGTGAGGTTATGAGGCCAATGAGGTTCAAGTACTGAGGTTCTACTACTAAGGTTCAAATTCAGGTACGGTTCGTTGGTATTGGTTCGTTGGTTCTATTGCAAGTTGGAATTTGAATTAAGAGGTATGTTCTTTTCGGTTGCCATCTTGTCGGACGCACACAGCTTTATGTAGTTAGAGATTTAGAGATTTCGAAGTTTGGTGTTTGGAAATTTGCAAATTTTGAAACGTGGGGTTTTCAAAATTTCAAGATTATGATATTTAAAAGTTTGAAGATTTGGAAATGAAAGTTTGAAAATTAAAATTAGGAAAGAATGAAAATTTGAGAATTTAGAAATTTAATAATTTAGGAATTTAACAATTTGGAAATTTAATAATTCAGGAATTTACAATTTGTAGATTTGAATTTGAAAATTTATCATACTATAAATCTGTTCAAACTTTTTCCACTATTTTCTATGAACTTCAAAAATATTCACTAAATTTTTCCATAAATACTTTTTAATTTTTCACAATTTTGATTTGTTAAATTGCACAGTAGACACCATTATATTCTTCACAAAATCTGAACATCACTAAAGTTATCAAAAAAAAGTAACACAGGTAATATTTTTCGTTAAAGAAGAAACTCTGTTGATGAATTTAAATTAATTGAACTGACCAGGTGATTTTCCGGAAAAAACACACGAGATTGAATAATCAAGTTTGCAATAGAAATCTGAGATATCGATATCCTCCAAACGAGAAGACAAGCTGCGTTTGACGTTTATATACTGTGTGCGCTTCATTTATGTAATCTTGTCTGTCTTTTTCTCATGTCTCTTAGCTTCGTTTTTCTAACACAGATAATCGTATGCTCTAAAAGTCTCACTTTTATTTTACAAAAAATTTTAATGTTATTGCCCATATGGAAAACTGCGTTGACACTAAATTTTTCAATTTATAAGAATCAATGGATGATATTTTAAATATTGGAAATTTTTTAAATTGAGAGAATAAACACAACTCACATAAAATTTCTGAACTTAAAATTTTGAACACTGAAGATCTGGAAATTTCAGAAATTTTAAAATATAATTTATGATATCTGGATATTTGGAAATTTGAAAATTTCGAGATTTGAGTATTAATGTCTCAAAAATTTGAAAATGTGAACACTGAAAATTTGAAAAATTTGAAACTTTGAATATACCAAAAGTTATTATAAATATTGTAGAATATTATATCGTACGATGCTTTTTCGAAGAATATTCATTCAAGGTTAACAAATAATCAAAAAGTTAAATTTATGAGTCAGATACATACATTACCATCCATAAGTATCCGGACACTTGGTTTCGTTGCATAAAACATAGTTGAACTTTGTACGAAAGGTATTTAGGGTTATCATATCATTTGTAATCATTATTATTATCTGTTTTGAGGTGTCATAACGTAATAGAATTAATTTTTAAGTACAAATTATACAATGAAAGTGTGAAAGTAAAATTCATGTCCAGAAGTACAAAGTCCAAATTTGTGAATCTAATGAAACGCTTTCGATTCTAAAAAAAATTTTAATTTCTACTGTGTTTCATTTCTATGGTGCAGAACGTATTCAGAGGGTTCTTCGATATGTTTCAAGTGTTTGTAAACTGTTGGTAGATGTTTAGGTTCCCTCAATGGAGATAAGAATGGAGGTAACGCTACACACTCGACAGTTTTGGTTTAGTTCGTTTGTAGCTTCTTTTCCATCGAGATATGAGTTCCAAACGAGAATTATCAATCGAAAAACGTTCCAGTATTCTGACCTTCGCAGAAAAAAAAATCGATTCTAGTTACTGTTGCAGATACTTGAATAACTTTCATGCAACGCGAATGCATATTTCGCTTGTGTCCGGATACTTATGGACGGTAGTGTATGAGCATTTATTCGATATCTCTCCAAGAATAAATTCTATCAAATGGTGTATCACGTTCAATTAATTTTTTACCGAGTGTTTTTTCTATTTCATATGTTCTCTTTATCCTTTTGCCATCGAGTGATGCGTGAAACGCGAAACGTGGCAGTAATGCAATATCTTTTATCCGATACTCGTATCGTAAAAAAACATTTCTGTTTGTGTTTTTACTACTCTTGTCAGCCTTGTAAATATTAAATAACAAATAATATATCAATTAACGTTAATCAAAATCGAAAATAAGTCGAAATTCTGAAAAGGTAAATTTGTCAATATTGACAGGCAATTTTTTCTTTATTTGTTTTATAGAACAATTTATGTTTGTTTTATAGAAGAACCTTTGAATAAAAGGTAGGAATACGATAACAGACAATACTCGATAGGAAAACTATTTTTTTTTTTTTTTTTTTTTTTTTTTTTTTTTTTTTTTTTTTTTTTTTTTTTTTTTTTTTTTTTTTTTTTTTTTTTTTTTTTTTTTTTTTTTTTTTTTTTTTTTTTTTTTTTTTTTTTTTTTTTTTTTTTTTTTTTTTTTTTTTTTTTTTTTTTTTTTTTTCTTTTTCTTTTTCTTTTTGTAGAGAGAAACAGAGGAGACAATTTAAAAATACAGGTCATATGATTCGGGGATGAAGGTACAATTTCGACGCGGTAGTTCGAAATGCGCATGCGCAAAATATGCAAATATGGCGGTCGCCAAAGAGTGGTTTAAACCTGCACAATTACCACTAATTTATTTGTAATATTTGACCATTTTTCTCAGTTATTATAATTACGTTTAGAGAGTAATTTTTGAGAATGTAGGAAGAAAAGGTATTTTACATTGTAGGTTACGAGGCTACATAATTTAAATTCATAGTATTGCAACAGTTGTGTCTGGATCATGATCTGTGAACCAGGTTATTTTTGTCACAATATACAAGAGCAGTGTTGCTCACTATGCTGTACAAGATAAAAATCTTGCATGGTAAGAACATACACGGTGTTCTCAGTTTTTAAAATACAGAAGTTAGTTTGCAGCAGGTAATCGATTACTATGTGAACTCTTATCAGTGTCGATTATAAAATCAGTCACCTAATGAAACTGTTTCATAGCAGTTTTTCCTTTTAATAATACATGGGCGGATTTATTAATTATTAATATGTAAATTTAGAAGTTTAACACAGTAATCTCATAATGTTACAATTACTCTTATAAAACAGCAATGTATTTCCCTAAGGTACATAAAATATACAATCGTGAAGAAAATTAAATAACTCATATTTGTATTACGAAGCTTTAGTTAAATTTACAGATCTATTACGTGTGGTAAAAGCATCTAATAACACTATTAAGTTTAAATGCGACAAAAGAAATACCAAACGAGTCAAGCGTTAAGTTGACTCATTAGGTATTTGTGTTTATAATACAGCTAATGAACACACGATATGGCATTAGTTTCACAAATTTCGATCAGAAGTTAAAAACGAACTACATTTTTGAAAAACATTTTGATTAGTGAATATTATTTTTAAAGAAAATTGTGACCGTTGAAACTTTTATATACGTACTGTATACACAAAGAGGTTTCATCTGTAACGTTCTAATACCAGGCGAAAAATATCACATATGTAAAATACTATACATACATTCGACAGCGATAACCGGATTGGACAGACTTAACATTGGCATTTTGATAATTAAATTCAACATCCTATAAAACAGGTATCAGTGGAAACGATGTGCTCTGTTATATATCACGAGGTGATATAACGCAAGACTATGTGATTTTCAAGATTCAATGGACGTTTTGATATTTGTATTAATAGACATGTTTTTAATACGATGGTAAAATAACATTACTAATGCATAAGAATTCTCTAAATCAGCGATATAACGCGAGGTCATCCAATTCTTAAAGTTCCACAAGTATTTAGATTAGATATTAGTAAACATCTAATGATATGCGTTTACACTGCGATGGTGAAGTAGCATTACTAGTGTACGATAATCCACTAAATCGGCAATATAACACGAGGTTATACAACTCTCAAAATTCAGTGAAAAATTAGATATTTACTTACGTAGATATTTTTGCACTACGATGGATATTACTTTTGGACGGTAATTCACCAAATCGGCAATATAACACGAGGACATATAATTCTCAAAATTCAGTGAAAAATTAGATATTTACTTAAATAGATATTTTTGCACTGCGATGGTAAAAAGGTATTACTTTTGCACGGTAATTCACCAAATCGGCAATATAACACGAGGTCAAATAATTCTCAAAATTCAGTGAAAAATTAGATATTTACTTAAGTATATATTTGTATACTACGATGGTAAAGTAGTATTATTAATATATAATAATTCACTATATCGGCAATATAATACGAGGTCATAGAACTCTCAAAATTCAGTAAAAAATTAGATATTTACTTAAGTAGATATTTTTGCACTACAATAGTAAAGTAGTATTACTGTTACAGAATAATACTAAATCAGCGATATAACGCGAGGTGATATAACTCTCAAGATTCATTAAAAAATTAGACATTAGCGGATATCTTTACACTACGATGGTGGAACAGTACTAATATAGAAGAATTCGGTAAATCGGCGATATAACGCGAGGTTACATATCTCTACGTTCAACAGAAAGTTAGATATCTATTATTAAATGTATTTACTCTACCATAGCGAAGTAGTAATACTGGTTAAAAAAAAATTCGCTCAATTGGCAAGATTAATGATGACCATATAGCGAGAGTTGTCTATATTTGGATCATATCGTTATCGTGAACCTGGTCGAATATTCTAAGTACTCTGGACTTCCACGTTTAATCATGTCTGCAGTTATAATCGTTTCCACTGGCTGTATAATCAGTTCGGAAGATACAGTGCGGTTGCAAATCAACAAGTTGTAAATTTTAAGATTATTTTAAATTTTATGATTTTCGAATTTTTGATCTTTTAATTCTTTTTTAATCTTTTGATTTTTGCACTTTGGATGTTTAGAAACTTCAGAATTTTTAAACATTGAAATTTTTGGTTTTTGTGATTTTAATATTATCACATTCTCAAAAACTTCTTTGAACTATTAAGACATTTGAATATTTCAATTTTAAATTTCAGAATCTTTGAAGTACGAAACTTGATATTTTTTAATTTTTAAATTGTTTAATTATGAAACTTCAATTCCGTATCTGTCCAGAGCTTTCATTTTTCGAATTTCGTGTTTTTTCGCGTTTGAATAATTTACAATCGCACTGTCTTAAACCGAACATACGTCAACGTCGTCGGAGTTCACATCTTGGTCCACGTATGCCTGATCATATCAGCTGCCTTTTCGGCAACCATCATTATACCAGCGATAGGGTTACTATTTGGCACACTCGGGAACACGGAAGCATCGGCCACTCGAATGTTCGGCACTCCACGCACTCGAAGTTCCGGATCAACAACAGCTGTTGGATCATCGTATGCACCCATTTTGCACGTTCCTGACTGGTGATTTTCGGGTCCAGTTGCCGCTCTTACGTAGCATTCCCAATATGCGTCACTTCCGAAGTGATAGCTACAAAAGAATAATTGCCATTTAAATCACTAATATTTAATTATTTAACAAAAGCATTTAAATTAAATTTGTATTCGATTATTATATAAAATTATTAATGCTTAATGTGTACTAAATTGTTTATCAAAGTTAATATCAGTGTAATCGTTGAACTGTTGATATTAGCCTAGAATTGAATTATTAATTAAACTTGTTCTTCCCAAACTAGTATGAAATTATTAATTAAACTTATTCATTTTAAACTGGTAATAAATTACTAAGTAAAATCTCAAAATAAACCCTCCAGACTTTCAACAAAAATCATCCTGTCGTAATTCGTTAATTTACAACCTCACTATATCTCCCAACCAAGTATCGTACCTCTCCCAGTCACCCAACTAAAAACACTTACTTGGCGCAAAGAGGATGGACCACAGATTCCAGCTTCAGGTCCCATTTCTTCATGGTCCTCGTGTTCATCAGGTCGATAGCCTTTTTAATCCCTTCGACCAGCACCTTCACATCCTTCATATCAGTGAAGTAATTCGGGTAGATCAAAGGTGGCGCAACAGGATCAGCAGACCGCAGTTTCATGAATCCCCTGCTGCCCACAGTGACCGCAGTCGGCCTCAGCACAATCTCCCTCCTATCGGAACACAGAGCTAGCGCCCCGTTCAGACACTCAAACTCTAGTCCAGTTCTGGGACATTTCGGAGAAAATCCGTCGAAGAAAACTTGAATATCGGGTACACCCGTGACGGCGAAACTGCTTTCAAGGAACGCAGTCACCTGGGTCAGTCCTGTGCTGCTTAGAGGACCAGTCCGAGTATCCAGGTACTCGTTCACACTGTCCATAGTCATGGCCTCGTAGGCAGTGTCCTTGATGCTGCAGTGAATAGCGACTGACACGTGGTTGTGCAGGTTCTGACCCACCGGTAGATCCTTGAAGACCTGCAGACCTAACTTGGTCAGGTGTTCCTTGGGACCTATACCGGAGTTCATCAATATTTGCGGGGATCCCACAGCTCCAGCGGACAGGATCACCTCTTTGTTGGCCTTCACGACTCGCTTGAAGCCATCTTTGTCTATCAACTCCACACCGTACGCTCTGTTCTCCCACTGGTTCATCAGGACCTTCGTCACCTGCGCGTTTATGAGCACCCGCAAGTTAGGTCTTCCGTGAACCGGCCTCAGATAGTTCCTCGATGTTGTACCTCGTAAACCATTTTCTGTCACCATGGGCGCAATCATGAAACCCGTCTGGTCGTACTCCTTCCGTTTACCTACTCGGTAGTTCAGTTCGGACGCGGCTTTCAGTACTTCGTCCGCAAATTTCGGTTTGTGGGGGTAATACTGGATCTTCATGGGACCTGGGATGGGGGCAGTGCGGGGTTTGTCGGACACTATCGATTGGTCGATCGGGTTTTCGGCACGCTCGAAGTAGTGGGTTATTTCGTCGTAGGACCAGCCGATCGCGCCGCTGCGGGCCCAACTGTTGTAGACTTCGGGGTGCCCGCGGGCATACATCATACCGTAGAGGCCGCCCGTACCGGATACCATCTTTCCTCGAGGCCAGGTGCACACTCCGTCGGTTTCTGGAGATTATTAAATTTTAGTAATTATATGATACGATCATTTAGGATCATTTAGTATTTATATGATAGGATTTAGTGAAATTATGCGAGGGTTTAATGAAATTTTTGATAGACTTGCATTCGCGGTAAGGGGAGGACTCTTTCTAATTCTTTTTTTGGGGGGAATTGCAAGGTTCTTATACTTTCGGAGGTTCAGATTTTTGAACTCGGTAATTTCGGTGTTTATGGAAGCATGATTTTGATGTTCTTACACTTCTTAGATTGTAATCACCTACTAAATCTGTTCATGGTTCAAATTTGTCTCTATACAAATCGCACATCATTCTTCATTTTGTCTCAAATATTTTTCATTCTTTCTATATTTCTTGTGCGTTATTAAGTCAATGACCAGCGTTATTAATGATACTACTTCTCCGTTGCTCGAAGGTTAATAAATGATATGTACCTAGACACGCTGTCGGATGAGGCATAGTAGGTTCCGTTTTGTAGTTCCAATCTAAAGTAGAATTGACTGCGTGGAAAGCGAGACCTGGAATCGAAGTCATTGTTGGTTCTTCTGGTCCTGCTTCGATCAACAGAACACTCCACCAAGGATTATCGCTTAATCTTCGAGCGATTATAGGCCCTGCCACACCGGCACCCACTACTATGAAGTCGAACCTGCATTTTCATAATTGTAGTCAGAAAAATCATTTATCGTATTATGATATTAACCCCTTGGCTACTGTGGGCGCCTATAGGCGCTTAGAAATTTTGTGTTTGTATTACTGAGAGCACCTATAGGCGCCCACTTTTATACCAACAGCGTTTTTTCCTAGCGATTAAAAAGTTGTTATAAAAAAGAGTTATGACGGCGTGTTATAACATTTGTCATTTGTATTATCCTTTGTACATAAAGGAAGGATAAAAAACTGTATAGAAAGGCTTTAGCTTTGCTTTTTATAAATAAGAATATCTGACTTTTTATTATAATAAATAAGACCATAATCACATTTCTCAGAAAAAATCACCGTAGCGAAAGGGTTAAAATTTAATATTATGCTTCATATCAATTTTGTGTTTTATAATAATTTTGTATATGTTTTATGATAATTTTGTTAAATTGTTATATTTCAAATATGATACATTTTTAATAGTAGTGATGTGACGAAAATTGAAGCTATATCTACGATACAGTAAACACTCGTTATATTGCTGCAGGAAGCCTCTTGAAGCAAAATAATCTTGCTCTTGAGAATTAGAAATTGCACTTGAGATTTGCAATTAACGATGTATTTAAATTTTTGAACTTAAAATTTCAGAGTAGGTTTTTAACGCCATATACTAAATTTTTGGAAGAGAGCAAAATTTTTTGAAAGCAATTTTTCTTTGAGAGCAAAGAAGAAAATTCCTTTTAAGTGACTATCTCCATTAATTTCTGTATTTTATGAAACTATTCTTTTGTATGAAACGTGGCAATATAACAAGAGTCTAGTATAGGTCAGAATATTAACAAATTATTCGATACTGAAACTTTAAATTTCACTATTTGCTATGTCTTTTCAATAACAACTATTAAATCTAAATAACTGAATTTAAAAAAATAGAAAAATAGAAAAAATTTGAAGTTTGATAAAATCAAAAATAAATTTCTTACCATTCTTGAGGCACTTGATCACTTCCGAGCCTGTTGCAAGCATTCGATATATCGCATCGCGATTCGAACAGTTTCTCAACCAAAGTCATGAAAGAAGTCTTCACACCGCACTTGGATTCCATGTACGATGTGTCTTTGAAATCGCAATAACAACATCCTGAGGTTTCGTTGTTTGTATCCAGCTGACTAGTCTGAAACTAGTTAACGAGCTCTTCAATTAAATCGCTTTCACCTTGTTCTTTTTTTAATTGCGTAATTTGGTTTCGCGTTCTGGATATTTCAAAATGAAGGAAGGAAACAAATAGCCGTTTATACTCTATCTTGGCTTTCGTAAAATTTACACGGTTTAGCGTAAAAGAATTTAAACGGAGGTTTTGAAATTACTTGTAAAACTGTGTATTTATGTTATGAAATTATGTGAAATATAATTCTAATTAATTTAGGGAAATTATTTATGATGTGTACATTTGAAGTTATGAAATTGTTTACGATGTATATTTGACATTATGAAATTATTTATGATATATATATTTGACATTACAAAATTATTTTTTATATATGAAATTATATGAAATATAATTCTTGTTAATTTATAGAAGGTATGAAATTTATTGTGATATGTACATTTGAGGTTACAAAATTATTTACGATATGTACTTGACATTATGAAATTATTTATGATGTGTACATTTGAGGTTGCAAAATTATTTGTGATACATGAAATTATATGAAATATAATTCGTGTTAATTTATAGAAGATATGAAATTTTTTGTGATATGTACATTTGAGGTCACAAAATTATTTACGATATGTACTTGATATTATGAAATTATTTATGATGTGTACATTTGAGGTTGCAAAATTATTTGTGATACGTGAAATTATATGAAATATAATTCTTGTTAATTTATAGAAGGTATGAAATTTATTGTGATATGTACATTTGAGGTTACAAAATTATTTACGATATGTAGTTGACATTATGAAATTATTTATGATATGTACAGTTGAAATTACAAAATTATTTATAGTGTGTATACGACATAAAATTGTTTATAGTATACGTTTAAAGTTATAAAGTTGTTTATAGTACCTATTTTATGTAACCTAATTATTTATGGTCTGTGTACGATGTAGTAAAACTTTTTATGGTACATACTTGACGTTATAGAATTATTTATAGTATGTGTTTCACATCATAAATTATTTACAATATAAATTTGACACTATATATAAATTATTTATTAAATTGTTTACAAATATATATATATCAATTTGTTTAAATTGTTATGAATACATAACTGATAACATACACTTCCTTCACTGTAAACAACTTTATAAAAATGTTAAAAGAATGCAAAAATCCCCGAGTCAAAATAAGTAAACAATGACCATCGTTGATAATAAACATTTTAAAAATTGTATATCTTGCATATTTTAAAATAGTATAATTAGTCTGCGGTTCGTGTTCGCAATCTATTTTTAAATACGTGTGTACACGTTGTTTGCTATAAAAGGGTTAAGCGTGATGTAATAGTAGCTCTGTTTACCGGAAATGGATGTTGAAATGTGAATGTCAATTGTAACAGCAGTGAAAAGAGAACGTAGAATCTCATTTTATCTAATTCGTGGCCAGTGTCACCTGTGAACAAAAAGCAGATATTTAAATTAACTTTCTACTATGCAATTTTTTTACTTAATTTTGTAACGGGAGAAAGATTATTATTCATTAGGTTAATGTACGTAAAAATAGTTTTAAAAATAGTGGTATATATTTAAGTCAGTAGTTAGCTTCAAGTTTTTATTTTTATCTTAATTTTACCATTCATTTTTATAAGAATTTTAATATTTATTTTTATGTTAATTTTTATTTGGAAATTTGCATTCATTTTACTTTAATTTCGGTATGAATTTTAATATTTATTTTATATTGATTTTTATATATTTATTATTGAAACTTGAGAATTTTAAGAAATTTCAAATTTTCTTACTTTCATGTTAATTTTTTTTTTAACACTTGCATTAATTGTACCTTAATTTTTGTCCTAATTTTGAGACAAATTTTAATACTTATTTTATATTAATTTTTATATTATTATTATCGAAACTTGAGAATTTTGGGAAATTTCAAATTTTTTTCATTTTGATACTTTGCATCTATAAAATATTAAAATTCTGAAACTTTGACATTTCAGATTTCAGTAAAATTTCAAAACTAAATCTTAATTTATTATAATTTTAAGAAGACCTGCTTTTGGATACTAATTTTCCAGTATCGTATTGTATCTACATAAACCTACCTTACATAAAAAATTAACCCCTCAATTTTTCTTCAACCTAAATAACTTATCTTCCATATCAAAATTGACCCCCCTCAAGAAAGTGCAACATTAAAATTATATACTTCAAACGATCACGTTAATTGAAACCTATCAAACTATCAAATTCCCTCCAGACTCCTATCTCGTGATCAAGATTCATCAAAGCAAGATCGTATTATGCGTTAATCAGTAGTACTTTCTCTAAACAGTGTATTAACTTACCACTCACTTTCACTATAGATTGTCTTGATTGAAATCAGTAACGGAATAATCTTGTACACGAATTTCACTATCATCCATTGTTTGCTGTAACTGACAGTCAGCTGTTTTGTATGAAGAACTTTAATGAAAGACTTACGCGAGACATCTTCTTCACGCTTTAAGATTCAAATTGGTGTGTCGTAAGTGAAATTTTGTGATGCTTTTATGTCATCAAATTGTCTTACGCTTTTATTCTGTGAGTTGTTACGTATTGCTCGTTGCAGTTGAAAATCAATCGCTTTGTATGAAATTTATGAAGGTTTTGTGTAGATATTTTTAGTAAATTTTAGTGTCTGTATTATCAAGATTACTAATATTATTACAATTGTTATTAATAACATTACTGATATTAGTTTATGTTTTCTAAATTCATCACTAAAATAATCATTTTAAATAATAAAATGAAAGGTTTTGATGGCCAGTTAAGAAAATTCAGAGTTAATGTGAAAGTTCATAAATTAAAAAGAAAAAGTCATAAGGACTCTAAAATTGTTACAAGAATACAATAACATAATATATTATTATAATACAGTAAATTATATATTTTAAAACATACGTATATAATACATTATGATGTCATATTACAATATTATACAGGGTGTCTCACAACTCGTGTAACTCTCTGAAAAGAGTGGTAGAGGACGGGGTAGCTGACGTGATTCTGAATAAGATATCCCTTTGCAAAAATGGGGTTTGAAGCTTCTTTTTTGAATTATTAAGGAAAAACGCGGACCAATCAGAGCGCGAGGATTACGCGTGCGCAGCGAGAGCGACACCCTCAAGCATAATGGCTGCGGGGGCGTAATCCTCGCGCTCTGATTGGTCCGCGTTTTTCCTTAATAATTCAAAAACGAAGCTTCAAACCCCATTTTTGCAAAGGGAAATCTTGTTCAGAATTACGTCCTCTACCACTCTTTTCAGAGAGTTACACGACCTCCCATTTCAGGGACCTACACTAGTTGTGAGACACCCTGTATATGCTGTATACATTATTGTATATGTTATTATATTGCATATGTAATATGTATTACATATAGCGTTGTGGTATGACGTTATAATATAACATATGTAATATGTAATATAATATATGTTATATGTAATGCACATGCATATGTATCTCTACTAATATAATGTTATTATATTACATATTACTACACGAATACTTTACATGCATAACGTGTATAAATAACATCTTAAAATTAAAAAATTAAAAAATCTCAAACAAGATTTGCAGAATCGCACTTCCTATAATAAAAAGCACACCCATCAAGGTTACATCATACTATTTGAAAAAGAGAAAGAAAAGTCAGTCCGATACAACGTATCAAATTGACTCTCTATTCATAGCGAACCGCATGCACTCATTATGTTACGTTCATTCGTAACGAGCAGAGAAATTACGAGCGTCTATCGAGATGTGAAATAACATTCAACGTGAAAGTTAATGTACTCGTGAAACCCGGCAGAATCGTATTACAGTTTCACCGATCGAACGAAAACCGAGCCGAGCGTTCTGTACAAAGATAAATCGTTCAACCTCAGGAACCAGGAAGCTGAAATCGGCTTCTAAATACACGGGATTATTGAAAACAACGCGAACTCTTTCTTTATTTGTATGTGAAAGTTATCGTCTGCGAGAAGAGTCTCTATCGTTGTTTGATAAAAGAGACAAAAAGATTTGTAGAACTCTCTTCCGGTGAGATAAGAGAACCGTGTGGGTCGCGATTAATCATAATTCTGCTACTTGCGCGCTCGAAGCTTGGATGCCTCTGAGCGCGAAAGTTCTGACATCAGGGGAGATTATCGGGCGATAGTTTTGGTCTGATTCGAATTTTGAGTTGTTATGGTTGTGAATTTTCTTGTTTTCAAGATTGAAAATTTTGATTTTTTTAAATTTGCAAACTTTTGAGTTTTTAAGTTCAAGAATTGTCAGGTTTCCAAATTTGAAAAATTGCAAATTTTTCAAGCATAGAAATTATTAAGTTAGCAAATTTAAAAAATTGCAAATTTTTCATTTTCCAAGTATAGAAATTATCAAGTTTCCAAATTTGAGACATCGTAAAATTGCATATTTTCAAATTTATAAGTTTACGAATTTGCATACTTTCAAATATTCAAGTTGACGAATTTTCAAGTTTTCATATTTGCCAATTTTCTAGTTACCAATTTATCAAGTTATCCATTCATCAATTTATCAATTCATCAAGTTATCAAGTTATTAATTCATCAAGTTATCAATTTATCAAGTTACCCATTTATCAATTTATCAAGTCATCAAGTTATCAATTTATTAAAGTATCAATTCATCAAGTTATCAATATATTAATTTATCAATTTACCAAGTTATCAATTTATCAAGTTACCCATTTATCAATTTATTAAGTCATCAAGTTATTAATTCATCAAGTTATCAATTTATTAAAGTATCAAGTCATCAAGTTGTCAATTCATCAAGTTATCAATTTATCAATTTACCGAGTTATCAATTTATCAAGTTATCAATTCACAAAGTTCCAAAATTCTAAGAAATATTCCAAAAAATTTTCAAAAAATTCTAAATTTCCAATTTGTCCAATCTCCTATTATCAAATTCAAAAAGTACCAAATTTTGTGATTTAAGGTCTCCTATAAGGGTCACCATAAATTATAATTCTACTTTTTGCACGCTCGAATCAGCTTGGAATGTTCCGAACGTGAAAGTTCTGACATCAGGGGAGAAAAATGAATCGGTTGCTCGTTTTGATTCGAGTTGAACTCTGGAGCACGATCACTTTCGAACGTTGCTGCTGAGATTCACTTTTGTGAAAAGCATGAAAAATTCGATTGGGAATGTTCGAAGTGAGTTGTTCATTGCCTTGGAATAGGAAGTCATTTACTTGTCGTAAAAATGTGAAGCTGTTGAATCATTGCTAATACAATCATCTATCACTGGAGCAGCTACACTTACTCGCGGAAGTATTCGTTTTGAGACAAAATATGGTGTTAGATAATACATATTTGATACTTGGGAAGTAAGGTGTTCCGTATTGGGAAAGATTCATGAAGCTTTCTTTGTGAATGCAAATTTATTTAATATGGCAGATCATTGTATGTTCCTGAACCATCAAATCCCCAAATCCCAAGTTTTCAGATTCCTAAACTTCGAAGCTTCAAATTTATAAATTTCCATGTTCCTAAATTCTCAAATCCCTAAATTCCAAAATGCCCAAATTTCTAGGTCTTTAAACCCTCAAATCTCCAAATTCCAAAATGCCCAAATTTCTAGGTCTTTAAACCCTCAAATCTCCAAATTCCAAAATGCCCAAATTTCTAGGTCTTTAAACCCTCAAATCTCCAAATTCCAAAATGCCCAAATTTCTAGGTCTTTAAACCCTCAAATCTCCAAATTCCAAAATGCCCAAATTTCTAGGTCTTTAAACCCTCAAATCTCCAAATTCCAAAATGCCCAAATTTCTAGGTCTTTAAACCCTCAAATCTCCAAATTCCAAAATGCCCAAATTTCTAGGTCTTTAAACCCTCAAATCTCCAAATTCCAAAATACCCAAATTTCTAGGTTTTTAAACCCTCAAATCTCCAAATTCCAAAATACCCAAATTTCAAGGTTTTTAAACTCTCAAATCTCCAAATTCCAAAATACCCAAATTTCAAGGTTTTTAAACCCTCAAATTTCCAAATTCCAAAATACCCAAATTTCAAGGTTTTTAAACTCTCAAATCCCAAAATTCTAAAATCTCCAAAACCTCAAACCCTCCAATCCCCAATTTTCCAAATCTCCAGATCCCTAAATTTCCAAACTCCTGAATCTCTAAATTCAAAATTCCACCCTCTAATTTTACCCTCCAACCACCATCCACATCACTATAAACCTAACTCCCACAAAACCCCAAAAAAAGAACACAAAAAACCCCTCATAAATGTCACAAGTCACAAACATCTCAGAAACCAGCTATAAAATTAATAAAAGTTCAGAAAAAAAGAAACTTACCCCTATAAGATTTCAAATGAAGCAATACAATAATAACCGAAAGCAACACAGTAAAATCAGAACAGAGTATCGTATAAAACTATCGATGACAGATAAAACTACAGATGATGACAGATAAATCAATCAGAACCGACATTACCTGGAACGTCGCGCGATGCAAACGCTGCTGGTGATTCCAGGAGGACAATAAGTCGACATTCGGGTAGCTGGAGCAAATGCTCTTCTTAAACGAGATCGACACAAACCGATCGTAGACAATCGAACGAATCCGCGTGTGAACGAACGCAGCCGGTATTCCTCGGGTTTCTCACTGTGAATCATTCGAGTGAACCCACACTTCCGCGGCCACGGTTACACTAGACACGCTAATTAAGAAGCTCGCAGCATGTGGCGATGCGAGAACACTCTTTTCCGGAGAAAGAGCCTTGGCTTGACGTCATTCGGTTGGTAAACCAACGGAACAGTGTGTTCAACTGTGGCACGCGTTGTGCGAAATGAATCCCGTGGGTCCGAGCCAAACGTGTTTGGGTGGAGACTGACGGATCGGAGACGGGCATCACGGTTCCTTCGAACGGTATGATGCATATGGAGAAGTGGGATGCGACAGTTTTTTATGTGATAGCGAAAGATGTGAGTCCCGATTGGACGTGAGAAAGTAGATGCGTATAGAGAAGTAGGATAAGACAATTCTTTATATGATAGCCAAAGATGTAATCCTTGAATGAACATTTAAAAGTGGATGTATATAGAGAAGTACAATAAGACAATTCTTCATATGATAGTTAAAGATGTGAACCTTGAATGAACATTTAAAAGTGGATGTATATAGAGAAGTACAATAAAACAATTTTTCATATGATAGCTAAAGATGTGTACCTTGAATGAATATGAAAATATGGATGCTTATAGAGAAGTAGGATAAGACTCTTTTTCATATGATAGCCAAAGATGTAATACTTGAATGAACATTTAAAAGTGGATGCATATAGAGAAGTACAATAAGACAATTCTTCATATGATAGTTAAAGATGTGATCCTTGAATGAACATTTAAAAGTGGATGTATATATAGAAGTACAATAAGGCAATTTTTCATATGATAGCCAAACATGTAATCCTTGAATGCACATTTAAAAGTGGATGCATATAAAAAAGTACAATAAGACAATTTTTCATATGATAGCCAAAGATGTAATACTTGAATGAACATTTAGAAGTGGATGTATATAGAGAAGTACAATAAGACAATTCTTCATATGATAGCCAAAGATGTGATCATTGAATGAACATGAAAATATGGATGCTTATAGAGAAGTAGATTGAGAGCCTTTTTCATAAGATTGTCAAAGATATGAACATTGAATGAACGTAAAAAAGTAAATGCATATAAAGAATTGCAATGAGGTAGTTTTTTCATATGATAGCAAAAGATGTGAGGCTTGAATGGAAGTGAAAAAATAGATTCGTATAGAGAAGTAGGATGAGACATTTCTTCGTGAAGTAGCGAAAGGTATGAACCTCGAATGAATGTGAACAAGTAGATGCATACAAAAGAGTACAATAAGACAGTTTTTTATTGCACAAAGAATGATGTGAGGCCCGAATGAATGTGAAAGAGTAGATGCTTATAGAGAAGTAGGATGAGACACTTTTTCATGAAATAGCGAAAGGTATGAACCTCGAATGAATGTGAACAAGTAGATGCATACAAAGAAGTGCAATAAGACAGTTTTTTACTAGATAAGGAATAATGTAAGTCCCGAATGAATGTGTAAAAGTAGATGCTTATAGAGAAATAGGATGAGACACTTTTTCATGAAATAGCGAAAGATATGAATCTCCGATGAACGTGAAAAAATGGAGGTGTATAGAGAAGTAGGATGAGGTTCTTTTTCATGAGATACCGAAAGATGTGAGGCTCCAGTGAATGTGTAAGAGTAGATGTGTCGGAGAAATGTGATGAGTCAGTTTTTTTATTAGACAGCGAAAGATGTAAGCCTGCAATGAATGTAAAAGAGTAGATGCATACGGAGAAATTTTCTTATTAGATAGCGAAAGATGTGAGCTTCGAAAGAATTGGAAAAAGTAGATCTGTGATCACCTGGAATAGTGAGCTACGAGAGCTTGCGTGAAACGTATGTCATTAATGTTCTGCACTCAAAAGGTGACTCACACTCACCTTTCTATTTAATACTACAGTGTGAAGTAAATAATTTTTATCTAAAACTGTAATGTTATGCATGTGACGTATAAACACAGCAATGTAGACGATAGTAACGATTAATAACTTTAATGGAGTTCAGAAAATTTTTCAACTAGAAAGTTCTTTGTTACTTTAAACAAGTAACAGATAGAGGAGTAACGCAACTAGTATAAATACCTGTAATGTAATTAGTGTTATTTTTATTAACTGGTAGAAAGTTTTGTAATATTACTAATAATATTTTGATGCTAACGTGACTGGTGGAAATACTTGTAATATTACTAGCAATATTTATAACTTTATAACCAGTACAAATATTTATAATATTACCAATAACTTTTTATAGTAATATAATTAGTACTACTTGCACAATTATTATCAACAGTGTAACTAATAAAATCGCTTCAAATATTATTAATAGTATAAGTGTAAGTAGTAGTAAATGTATAAGTAATAGTATAAGTAATAGTATAAGTAATAGTATAAGTATAAGTATAACTAGTAAAAATTGATCACACAAAAATGAATACCAATATATCCAGTAAATATCTAGTTAATTAAATCTCATAAAAACCAACAAAAAATTATTAATTTAAAAATGAATACTCACTGAATATAACTGTAAAATGTTCTACTCCTCACACTTGTGTATTTACAATAAACTTAATTCATCTTCAGACGTTAACTATATATTGTACTACAATTAGATAGGTTATCACACCTGTGTTTTATCAATTTTCAGAAATAGATAATTATTATCATCCACTTACAAGTAGCGCTTCTTGTTAAATAAATGTTTTCTGTTATTTGTTTTAACGAAGATATTATCATTGTAGGAAGCTAATTTAAGATACTACAGATATGTATCTAACTAATATATATCCTAAAATAATAAGAATAATAATATTTAATATATATCTAAAATATGTATCTAATTTCGATTAATTTGCATATCTCTATATGATCAAATTATTATTTTCTATTGTTGTTTCATATTAAAAATCGTTGCTAGTAATATTATTAATCAATTTATTGTAGTTAATATCAATTTCAAAATAAAATGGTAATATTAATTTTAAAATAAATATATTTGTACACATAATTATTTTGTCATACGTAATTTGAAATCTTCTCGGTATCATTAATCAGAAACATTTAACAATTCAGTGACACACCATATGTTCTACACATGTGTCACGCATGTGTGTTCTGAATAATCGTGGGAGACCTAAGATACTAATAACATGTTTTTAACCAGATTGATATCTTTTTCGACATCCTCCATTAAATCTTACTATTCCACTTATGTTTACTTTGTTCTCTAATCTTGTAAGAATTTTCGTGATTTTCAATTATTCCGTTAATAATTAAATGATTAAATTATGCTAGGCAATTGAATTTTTAGTTGACATTTTAATAAATATTACAAAATAGAATTTTGTTGAGAATTTTAAATATTAATTACTAATATTGTTATTAAGAATAATTATAATATTGTAATTGTAATTAATATAACATAATAACTTGTATGTATAAATAAATTGTAATTAATATAATAAGTCATAATAATTGTAATAATTATATTCTTAATATTATAATTAATAATAATTACAATTTTATAGTTATAATTATAACACTAATTTTCAATTCCATTATTAATGTTTAATACATAAATTGTATCTATAATAGAATGACTTTTTATTCGAAGATTAAAGTTCTGTCTTCAATGAAGACTTCTCAGTAAAAGATTAAAAATCGACATGTATTTTATATCTCCATTGATCAATCACGTGTAATTGTGAATTATTATGGCTAAAGTAAGCAAATAGATAATACGAGGTTCAGAACTATAAAATGAAGGTCAAGATAACCAATCACATTCATCATCGAAAATTACTTCTCCATCAAACAATCAAAATCAAAAGCTGTTTAAGAAAGAACACATAAATATAAAAAAGAACAATTTATGAACAGAAATTCCAGCGAAACACAGAAGTTAAAAAATGTATACAGAATAAATAATTCATAAACAATTAGTATGTAAATAAACGTGAGCTGACCTTCGCGACAAAAGATAAAATTTCGCAACAATGAACTTGGGTTGCTTAAAAGAAAGAATAGATCTCGATCCATTATTCGGGTAATAAAATTACATAAAACTGGTACATACACGAATGTAGCATATATACAGTCAAGTTTTACTTCCTGCATTCGCGTGTAAGTTACACAAGTTTTGCACAAGTTTTGCAGCGGTTCGTTTAAACCGGATTTGCGAGCTATGGTTTAAGCTTGCTAAAAATAATAGCGAATTTCCACTTTGCAATTGCTTGCATAAAACTCGCTCGTCGAAAGTTATTTTCGTAAAAAGAGAAAGTATTATTTCAGCAATAAACATCGGGTATGTATTATTGTTCCGATTATTGCGGAATATCTTATTTAACATTGTACTTAACTTTTGTTCGTGAAATTTCTTTTGTTCGATGCGAAGGTGAAAAGTAAAATGAAAAAGTAGTAAATGATATTGACTCTGATATTGTTAGGAATAATATTGAATTTTGATATTGTTATTATTCATGTTCATTTTTAGTTATTATTATTTTTGTAAGTTATCTATATTTTTCAATTTTTATACTTTCAAAGCTCTATATTTCAGAATTTTTGTATTCTCAAATTTTTATATTTTCAAACTTCTATATATCACATCTCTATATTTCCTAATTTCTATAGTTTCCAAATTTCTATATTTATAGAACTCTATAATTCTAAATTTCTACATATTCAAATCTCTATATTTTCCAATTTCTGTATTTTCCAAATTTTTATATTTTCAGAGCTCTATATTAGCAAATTTCTGTATTCCCAAATTTTGGCAATTTTCAAATTTCTATATTTTCAAACTTCTGTATATCCAAATCTCTATATTTCCTAATTTCTATACTTTCCAAATTTCTATATTTGTAGAGCTCTATAATTCCAAATTTCTACATATTCAAATCTCTATTTTTTCCAAATTTCTTAATTATCAGTACTCTATATTTCCAAATTTCTATATTTATATAGCTCTACATTTCCAAACTTGTATAAATCCAAATCTCTATCTTCCCTAATTTATATTTTTTTCCAAGTTGCTATATTTACAATCAATGCTGTATATTTCCAAATTTCTATACATCCAAATCTCTATTTCTGAGTCACTATACTCCCCAATCTCTGAATTTTCCACCTTCTGTAATAATCTAACACTGCTATATTACCAAATGTGCATTATACCAAATTTCTATAAAAATTTCTACATTCTCGAATTTCTTGCTCACTCTATTTTTCTCATAAAAGAAAATA